ATTTTCGAGAAGCAACTAGCCTCCGCCCACCTGACTTTGATGCCGGTTGTTAGGATCACGCTTACCAGTTACCACTACGCCAAAAGCTATAGCTAGTAGCGAAGGCGCAAATTTATTTCCTTATAAACCGCCATAACATTTTCGAGAAGCAACTAATAATTCCCTAGCCACCGGATGCTAGAGTTGGCCTTTACCGGCCTCCGCCCAACAGTTTTGTTGATTTTTCATATTGCTTTTTCACAGTGAGAAATGAATGAAAATAAGGGGAAATAGAAGAAAATCAATACCACATTTCGAATGCGGTTGCGTTCATCTTCACTGAGGATGAACTGCAACTTCATGTGGACATAACCCCATCCTTCAAGATGAAATATGTCATCCCAGGAGCCCTTTTCAACTATTAATGTGGTCTTAACACCTGCCATGGTGAATACAATAAGTTGGTTTCCATTGTAACACAGAGAGCTGCAATGACAAAAATTTAAAATTGAAGCACAGAGAGGTGATAGACCTACCTGTATGAGAAATTTCATTCCCCTCATCATCCTGAAGCATAACAACCAAATCGTCTCGAAAGGTTGTCAAGGGGCTACAAAAGTGCCATCACAAAAACCCAGATTCAGTACAACATATATTCACCCTGACTAGCAAATGAAAGCCAAAAACTATGCAAGAATTTGAAATCATTACAATGTGAAATCTCCTTTATCCCAAGTTTGGTATACTGTCTTCCCCATGGAAACTGCACCACAAACAATAGTTCCTTTGTCAAATCCCAGAAAATGTCAGTCATTATATGAGGAGTGGATAAGTGACTGAGATTGATTTTAGGGTTTCCAAGGAGGATTGATGGAAGAATCACCTTTAAGAGATACTGAGGAGGGTGGTGATGAAGATGAAAGCTCCTTGAATTCCAAAACTAGATTGAGCAAAGGGCAAAACAAATAGTTCACATAAAGAGGAATTCTGGCTGTAAATACTAATATCTGTTGGAAATAAGCTCTGGGTACCTGAAACTTGGATTGTTCCTGGCATTGGAGAGGACACTGAGCAATGGACATTTAGCAGAAGAATTGGGAATTGCTGTGACTTCAGCAGTTGTGAATGAATTTTGAGGTAAGTGAATAATCCTATCAGAGCAGCAAATCAGAAGCAGGGGATAGAATGGAAATTTGGTTGGATGGAAGAATAGGTATGTGGATGAGTTGAGAGAGATGGGTGGGTCCACTATCCATGCCATTTATTAGGCAGACACCTCTAAATCTCTCCTTTTGTCTCACCTGAATCAGTTGTTCTGACTTCTAAAACAGAGTTGCTCAAGATCAATAATAAATAAGGACTAAATGAAGTTGGGGACTTGCTTCATCTATTCATGAAATGTTCTTGGATTTTGAAATGTAATAATCTACTCTTACACAGATTAAAAAAAATGGTTAAAAATTGTAAGATGAGTGATCGTTCAAGACTCCAAGTGGTAGGTAGCAAAGAGACATCACTCAATAGGCAAATTTTACTATGGATCATATTCTATAATTTATTTAAATTACACTTCAGTTTAATTTGACAATATTACTATGTGTGTTTGGTTGATGGGTTTTGCTGTGGGTGTGAAAGTGATTGTTGTTGTTCAGTTGATAGGTTTTTAAAACACTACTATGAGTTTCGAATACCCCATCAATTGAAAAACTCATACCCAAATAAAATAAGGGTTTCATTCTCTTATTCATTCTCAAGCACTACTATTAGTACAATAGTTATGTTGTGCAATCGTGTGTACCATGCATGGTGCACACGGTTGAAAAACGATGTCGTTTTGACTAAAAACGTGTGTCCCATTTAAAAAAAAAAATCAGTTTCGATTCCCCTCAATAGCATTATTGTGGTTATATAGTTATGAATTTATGGATATTTAGTTCATTCATTGTGGATGTTTAATCCATTTATTGTGGATATTTAGTTCATTCATTCTGGATTTTGTGTTATTCATTCACTGTGGATATATAGTTATGAATTTGTGGATATATAGTTATGAATTTGTGGATATATAATTCAAATTATGCACAAAAAATGTTATTACCGGGAATCGAACCTGAATTTTTTTTTTTAAAGTGGGATGCGCGTTTTTAGTCAAAACGACGTCGTTTTTGCAACCGTGTGCACCATACATGGTGCACACGGTTGCACAGTATAATTTTCGCTATTAGTAACCATTCTCATTCCACCCTACTACCAAACATGTTAAATACTTTCACCAAAACCCATTATCATTACCAAGTATTTGATACCCATTCCGATTCTGATTCCTATGTGCAAACCAAACACACCCTATGTTTTTTAAGTTTTATTTTCCACACTCACTAGTTTCATTATAGCAATACCAAAATATCATTTTAATTCTACTATGTTTCATTTCACAATATACATTATTGTATGAGTTTTATTTTGTTGTTTCATTTTCCACACACTAGTTTAATTATAATAATACTAAAGTATTATTTTAATTACAATGCACGTCCATTTGACAATATATGTTATTGTATGGTTCTGACTTTTAGTTTCATTTTAACAACATTAAAGTATCATTTTAATTATATTACAGTTTCATTTGACAATACGTTGTTGAATGATCTCTATTTTTTAGTTTCATTTTTCACACACATTAGCAACACTGAAGTATCAATTTAATTAAATAGAGTCAATACCATCTGAGGTCCTCTGAGTATAGTTATTTTGCCACGTTTAGTCCTAAACTTTCAAAGTGACCATATATGGTCCTTCGACTTTCAAATTTAACCATTCGTGGTCCAAGTTAACCACCTATGGTCCTTCAACTATTAAATTTTAACCAACCATGGTCCTTTCAAGAAGACCATGACTGGTTAAATTTCGAAACTTGAAGGACCATGGGTGGTTAACTTGGACCACGAATGGTTAAATTTGAAAGTCGAAGGACCACATATGGTTAATTTGAAAGTTTAGAACTAAACGTGACAAAACCACTTTACTCGGAGGACCTCAGATGGTATTAACTCTAATTAAATACTACAATTTTATTTGACAAGCATAATTCACATAACACTATGGACCATGGTCCCCTGTATAACAACCACACTCAATAGGGGTGTGCATTGAGCCATTGATGGGATCGACTTGGGGTTGAAAGCAACTCTCTCACCGTGCCCCTGCCCAAGTTCAAGACTAAGGCAAATTATTTTGTGGACTATGGTCCACATAGTTGTGTGAATCATAAATGTAATATATATTTTTAATATATTAAAAATATATTATTTGTGTAATAAATGTACATTGTCTGATAATATAAAAAAAATCATGTATTTTTAAATAATGTACTTTATATATACAAATAATATACTTTTAGTATATTAAAAATGTACTTTTTATTTATTCACACAAATATGTGGACCATGGTTCACGGAATAATGATTGTAAGACTAACCCAGTCTTGTGAAGGTGAGGCACGGGCACAAGAAATAGTCACATCTAAGGCCATTTGTAGCTTTGAAAGTCCACCTAATATATACCGTTAAGTATGCACTCAGCCTGGGAGCGTGAAGGGTGGTCGGGCCCAATTGTAGAAGAACACTTAACAATTCAAGAGGAAGCGCCTCTCTTGTCAGCGATGACAGCGTGACTGCATGAGCACCCGAGAGACCAGGGCGCCCAGTGGGCGAGTCCCCAGTTAGGGCTTCTGGCTGGCTCAAGTGGGCGACCAGACTCGTTAGTCGGTGTGTCCCTATTTGGGTGCCTTATCCGCCCTAGCCAGGTAACATAGCCAGGCAGTCGGTGTGTCCTCGACCAAGTGCGTGCTCCAGAAACGATTAATGGCAAATTCTGCGGAGATCTCTTTCCTTGTCCAGCAAGTAATTTCCTTTCCTCGGTTTAGGTAGTTACCACATTAATTATGGTAGATTCCAAAGATTGTTTAGTTACTCCCTTCTTACCTTATGGAGGATCTATTTTCTTGTATAAATATCCCTCCGGAGTCACCTTGTAAAAGGTGGGATTCTTGAATATCGTCCCGTTACTCTACTTCTTTTTTGACATACTTTACTTTGTTTACCTAATATTTTACGGTAGTGTTAGCTTACCGATTGACTGCCCTAAGCCGTAAAACCAACACCACCAAATGCAAATCCTGTGTGGCATTTCTTTTTCTGTGTTTTTTTTTTTTTTTTTTGATAATGTGTTGCAATTCTGACACATGCAACAAATGCAATTCGTGTGTCAAAATTGCAACACACAACAATTCACTTTTTGACTTTTTAATTATTATTATTATTTTATTAATACAAATTAAATTTTTAATAACATAATATGAAAGTGAGACAATTTTTGAAAGAGAAGAGAGAATTATATGGATAGGAGTGAATAATAAATCATTGTAAATTTAGTAATATGACATTTTGAAAGTGAGCGAAGATTGTAAGGGTGTGGATAGCCTAAGGCTCTACCACATAGTCATACACCAAATTGACAAAAATTATGTTCCGTTATCCAATATATATTGCATCAATAGTTATTGCATGGACCGTGGTCTACACAGCTGTGTGGACCACGGTCAAAAAACGACTTCATTTTATTTAATTTTATTTTTTGGCGTGCTCAGCTGCAACATACATTTTTATAACTCATAATGTACATTATTTTAAAACATAATATATATTATTCTAAAGCATAATGTACATTATTTTAAAACATAATGCACATTATATTACCCCAGATGTTTCATTATTCTAAAACATATTGTACATTATTCTAAAACATAATGTACATTATTCTAAAGTATATTGTATATTATTTTAAAACATAATGTAAATTCTTTTTACTCATAATATTCACGACATTATTTTGGACCGTGGTCATTACGTGGATCGTTTGCCATATTGCATTGCATTATATCATAGATTCATAGAATGTGAAATATAAACTTTAACCAGGAAGCATATAAATGATAACCAACATAGTTACTCCGCTGAATAGACAATTCTAACTTTGGGTTTCTGATATTCTCTTCCATCAACAAAAATTAGGAAGATTTACATTCAACTAATTTGAGAATACAAGGATAATCGCACAAACAGGAATCAACACTCTGTAAAACCAGGAAAAGTAGCTAGTGAAAATTTTTGGCTCTTCTCCTACTTTCTGCTTCCTCTCTTTCCTGTAGTATTTCTCTCAAACAAAAAATGCAATTGAAGAAATGCAGTTCAGTACATCTGTCAATCTTGAACAGCATTAATCTTTCTCTTCTCTCCCAATATCCCTATTTTGTTTCTCTTTGCCAGCTGCTATTCTTCGTTTTGTTTTCCTTTTGTGTTCCTTGAACAGAGCCCTTAACCAAAGAGCAAGAACCAGCTGACCCAAAACTCCGTTTTCCAGATTAAAATTCTGCTTGCTATTATTGTAACTAGCTCCCCATTCTATAGCATAATACAAGGATTTCAAAACTAATGATTAAAAATACAAAGATTCCTAAAACTTGACTTCCCCAACACAGCAACTTCCTAAATCACAGCTCCCCTTGCTGTGCCTTGGTTCTGCGAGAATAACCCTGCCCCGGAAATGCATTAGACCCTGGTACCTTCTCAGGCTCAGTGGGAAAGAAGATAACTTCATCATAATCCAGAGTAGTTGTCTCAGCCGGAGCACTTGTCTCAGGGGGGACAGTCATGTCTTTACTTGTAGCTATTATTTCTTTTCCTCGTGAGTCTTTCTTCACTGGTCTGCTAAATATGTATGCTGCATAAAATTTTTAAAAAAGTCAAGTAAAGTTGAATCAATGGCATAAAAACTTTTGGAACTCAAGGGATCGCATTTACTTATATAAGCATAACTTATTTGTTTACGCTTAAAGTTAGACATTATTCACAATATCACAATTAAAACTTCAGCTCTACACCAAGTTTTAGATTTTGATTGAACTCAATAGATTATTGGTTCGGATATTTTTAGTTATGTCATATCATAATATAAGTTTGGTGCGGATATCGGATATTGAAGTTTCACACATATTAATCTTCAAAGTAAAAATTATATATATACATATCACTCAAATGAATATATCCAAAAATATTTTAAATATTAACTCAAAAAAATATTAATATTATCTAAACTAAATTTTAGGTGAACTTTTTTTTTTTTGAAAGTTACTGGCTCTATTACATTGTAGTATCCCTTTCTCAACCTACTGAAACACAAAGAACCAATAACGCCTCCACTGAGGCTCGAACTTATAATCTTCCAAATGGAAGTCCAACCCGGATACCATTGGACCACATAGTCCTGGTAAATTTTAGGTGAACTTAATTGGTTATTGGTTCAGATATTTATATATGGATATAAAATGTAAAAGTCTTATATATATTAGACTTAAAAGTATAAATTATATTTATTCAATTTAAACCAAACATATCCAAAAATATTTTAAATATAAGGTTTAAAAACTACTCAAAATTAAACTTGTGTTAATTTTATAACGCTTTTCTAAACAAATAAATTTGAAAAAATGAGTATTAATAAACAAGTTTTCTAAACAGAAAATAGAGAATAGAAAACAAAAAATGATAACTGAAAAATTATAAAACAAAAAATAGAGAACAGTTTTCTAAAGTAAACGGGGTTATTATGTTCAACTTCATATTTTTCCACTGGAAATTTTTTGCAACTATTAAAGTTTAACGAAATTGCTTATGGTTTCAAGTGATCAATAGACTTTAAAATGTAGAATATGGCTCTTTCAGGGTTATCTAGGTAGCAAAAGTATAGGGGTTGTGGCCTGGACGGCTGGACTTTTCATTCCTAATAACAAATTAAAACACGATCCTGCCAGTAAAGCATTTTGAAAATTTTCAAGAGAGACAAAAAAGATTCAAACTAGATACTCCATAGCTTTAAGGGAATTTCTGTAATACATTCCATTAAAGAGAAAGATATTTAAAAACTGCAATATAAGCAGATATTAAATGAACAACAGTGACAACAGTTCTTGTATCTGTTCCACTCCTGTGCAGTGATGACTTGTACAATAGGCATAGTCAGTTCTGTGCAAGAAAGGCAAAAACACCATTGTTTTGAAGCAATTGGTGCTTGGTAGTTAGGCTGTTATAACTATTGGAGGTGCTAAGAGTTAACAGAAATGAAACTTAGGAAAAGAATGAACGCAACCCTGTTATTAGCTAGATTCAAAGATCAACTGTAGCTGATTCTTCTAGTAGTATAGTTATTATTATTACTCTATAAAAGGGAATTGTAAGTTCGTAACGGACTCAAAAAGCATTGAACTAGAAACTGAAAACCAATAAAACTCTCTGCTCCCAGGAATAATTCTGCGCTCTCCGCTTCCTCCATTTCTTTCTTTTCATCTGCAGTTCTCATGCATATCTGTAACAGTTCTAACTAAAGATCCAACAACACTATCCAATAAAAATCTGTGGTCACCTACAATTTATAGACTCAAAAAGCCTCTAATTACTGGTGAAACTTGTAAATAATGGATACACTGTACTGACAACACAAATCCTCAAAAGAGTGATATCATCAAGACCATTTTCATAGTCACCACGACCAAGTAGGAAAACCAAACTATTGACTCCACGACTCTGACCAGAAAAGAGACCATTCCTCTCTGACATTAAAACAAACAGTTGATGCACAAACACTAAAGATCCTGATTTACTCTATTACAACTACAAACTCGCACGAAAGCCATTTCAGTATCATCTTAATAAACGTAATCACAGGCGCAGAGAGATAGAAATATAGATGCATTAGATAGAAACCAAAACCAATAACAGAACACTGAATTTTGCAGGTATCTATCCAAAATGCAGCACAATGATAGATAATATAAAGCCCCAATCCACGGATTTAGCAACACTCAGCCTATTTGTGATACGAGTGTTCCATGATTCGAGGAAAAGAAAAAAGATTGGTGCTGCACAAGATAGGGGGAGTCAAGGTACCTCCAAGAGCGAGATTGAAGATGAGAACAGAGCGCCAAATGAACTTAGAACGACGCATCTCGGTGTAAAGAGGAGGAACCTCCATCTTCTGCGATTCTCCTGCCATGTTGGACTGAAACACACTCACAGCGAACTCTTTGCTTGGGAAAACTTGCTAATTGTCCGGTAACGCCCAATCGATGACCCTTACTTCAGCTCGCACCAAAACTAAGGCTCAGTTTAGAAACCGGAAAATGACTTTGGAAAATAATTTCCAAGATTTTTTGATGTTTGGATGAAATAGAAAAATTCAGTCAAAAAAAATGAAACTATTTTAGTGGAAAATGATTTCCACTAAAATTTAGGGGAAGTTATTTCTGTCAAAATGTTTAAACATACAATTCTACTTGATGGATTTAATTAATTCGGGGTGGACTTGAATCAATAAATCCGGATAAGAACGTAATATAATAAATAATAAACGAAATATAGAACGATGTCGTAAAGGTCGTTGGTGACCGTATATTATATTAATTGCCGTAGGATTTGGCTATTACAGAGATCCGGTAAGACAAAGTGTGTAATAATTGTATATCGTAGAATGAATGCCCCTTGTTAGGACAAGGAGGGGGTTTTTATACAAGCTAAACCCCCCAACCGCCTCACCCTAAATCGGGGGTGCTTAGATCTCAACTTTGACCGGGCCCGGGTGGACCGGATCGGGTCGGGTCCCGAGCTCGGGTGGTGCCGAGCTCAGGTAGGACCGAGCTCCCCGACCCGAGCCCCATGGAGGTCGGCTCGGGTCGGGGTACCCTCCGTGGTGCCCCGGGTCTGCGTTGCTCTTGGGCACCTCCGTGGTGCGCCGGGTCCGTGTTGCTCTTGGGCACCTCCGTGGTGCCCCGGGTCCGTGTTGCTCTCGGGCTCCACCAAGGTGCTCCTTGTCCGTGTTGCTACCCCGGGTCGGGTCGTGAGTATAATATATCCATCATGAGTCCCCCACTCTCTTCGTTGCGAGTAGGAGTCAACGAATGAGAGTATCCGTGCGCCGACCTGAGCCCCCCAGGTGGGAAAATTCCGAGCTCCAAATTTTAGCGAGGTGCCTTATGCCAAGGCGTCTTGGACCGAGGTGTCCTGAGCCGATGTGCCTTGGGTCGAGGTGAGACGTCTTGGGCCGCTCCACCTCGGCCGCCTTGGGTCGAGGTGGACCTCGGCATCGCGCCGAGGTGGACCTCGGCAACGAGCCGTGGTGCGACTATGGTGCACCCCGGTGTTGTGCCGAGGTGCGTTAGGCCTTAATTTTATTTTATCTTTTTTTTTTTTTTTTTTTTTTTTTTTTTTTTTTTTTTTTTAGGCCATGTATTAGCCTCTTTAACGTTGTCCTATGAGACTACGCCACCCGGCTCTCCCGTCGAGGTTGGTACGTGAGGTTAGACCTCGTGCTCCCTTAGGGTACGTCAGCCGCTCGAGCTAAGTCCTTCCGGACTGCGCCACCGGGCTCTTCCGTCGGGGTTGGTACGCGAGGTCGGACCTCGTGCCCCCTTAGGGTGCGCTTAACCGCTCGGGCCAGGTCCTATCGGACCAAGCCACTGGGCTCCTCCGTCGGGGTTGGTACGCGAGGTTAGACCTCGTGCCCCCTTAGGGTGCGCGTTAGCCTCTCAGGCCGAGTCCTGTCGGACCAAGCCACCGGGCTCTTCCGTCGGGGTTGGTACGCGAGGTCGGACCTCGTGCCCTCTTAGGGTGCGCTCAATCGCTTGGGCCAGGTCCTGTCGGACCAAGCCACTGGGCTCCTCCGTCGGGGTTGGTACGCGAGGTTAGACCTCGTGCCCCCTTAGGGTGCGCGTTAGCTTCTCAGGCCGAGTCCTGTCGGACCAAGCCACCGGGCTCTTCCGTCGGGGTTGGTACGCGAGGTCGGACCTTGTGCCCCTTAGGGTGCGTCCTCCGTCGGGGTTGGTACGTGAGGTCGGACCTCGTGCCCCCTAAGGGTCCGCGGGGAGAGAACGGGTGAGCACTCGTTCTCCTTCACTTGACGTGGTTTTTTGGTTTTTTTTTTTTTTTTTTTTTTTTTTTTTTTCTTTTTTCCAAAGATAGATAAACGCAGACCCACTTTGCAACAAGGGTCCTTCTCATAACATATTTCGTAACCTTCAATTTTATTCCGATTATTGCCGCCTACACAGACATTATTTGGGGGAGGGAAATGGTCAAGGTCCGCCTTTCACGTGGCGACCTGCTTCCTCCCGAAATGCCTCTTCGGCGATGGTGTGGACCTGGAGGTCCTTCTGACCAATTTGGCGGCACGCCTTGAAGTAGCCGCTGCGGCTCACCTTTTAGTCCCCCTCGGGCGACCCCGACTCCGGCCGGTGTCGAGAACTTGAGACATAGGTACTCCATGGAAATTACGCACCTGAGGTCCTCTAGGGCGGGTCGGCCGAGTATTATATTGTGGGCGCAGCTGATTTTGACGACTACGAACTCGACCTCCCACCTCCTGGTGTGAGGTGGGGTGCCTATCTCCACCTCCAAATTGATCGACCCCTCCGTCTCAATTGAGTCCCCCGTGAACCCGGACAGGGGAGTCCGTATTTGCTCCAGCAGTCCTCTTGAGAGTCCCAACTGGGTGAACGTGTCGTGGTACATGACGTTCACCGAGCTACCCGTGTCTACGAGCACCCGGTGCACCACCACGTTGTTGATGTCCAGCTTGACCACCAGGGCGTCTCGGGGGGAGGGGCCCATCTGGCAGGTCAGCGTCGGTGAACGTGATGGGCTCCTTCTTTGGTTTCTTCTCATGGGGGGTACGTGTGACCTCCCCCACGTACAAGCTCTTCGCCCACTTCTTCCGCTCGGCTGGCGAGTCCCCTCCCTCGGGCCCCCCAAAGATGACATAGATGGCACGTTTCTTCGGGGGCTGGGAGTCCTCCGTTGTTTTCTCCTCCTCCTCGGAGCTGTGGTCGTAGTGGTCCCTCTTACGGGGGGCCGAGGTGGATGGCGCCTGGTCACCACCCTTTCTCCATACGTTGCCTTGCTTCTGGCCTTGCGCCTAGGTAACCCATTTGGATGAGCTCCTCGATCTGTCTCTTTATATTAGGAGGATGCATTCGTCTGTGTCGTGCCCCTTCTGCCGGTGGAACCTGCAATACTTGTTGGAGTCCCCCCTCGCCTATATCTTCATGCACTCCTCCTTCGGGAATACCACGATTCCCTGGTCCTCCGCGTGTGCCAAGATGGTACCCACAGGTTGTGTCAGCGGGGTGAGATAGCGTGTGGGGTTCAGCCTGGGCCCCTCAGCGCACTCACGTCGGTGTGGCCGCGGTGACTTGCGCTCCTCCTGGGGTGCCTTGTCTTTTCGACCTCTTCCTTCCTCCTGTTCCTTCTTCATCTTCTCGGCAGCCTCGGCGTCAGCGTACCTTGCTGCCTTGTCCATCAGGTCGGTATAGGTCCTTGGGGGGTACCTGATGAGGTCCCGGTGGAATGCGCCCGACCTCAAGTTGTTTCGGAAAATCAGCATGGCCGACTTCGCATCAAAGTTGGCGACCCCCATGGCCTCTTTCTTCCACTTGCTGAGGTACTCGGCTAGCGATTCCGATCTCCCCTGCTTCAAATCACATAGGTCGGCAATTTACTTCTTCCGCTGTATGCTGGTGGCGAAATGGGATAGGAACTGCCGGGTGAGGTCCGCAAAGGTGGAGATGGACCCCGCCGGGAGGGATCCGAACCAGTCATGCGCCTGCCCGTCCAGGGTGGCGAAGAACCCCCTGCATAGGATGGCGTCCGTCGCCTCGGTGATCATCATGGCGGCCCTGTACCTGGTGAGGTGTGCCTGCGGGTCCGTGGTATAGATTATTGAAAAGAAGAGAAAACATATGATAAACACTTGCCCATAATTGCGCACTTGAAAGCACAAAAATATGCACTTGAAGGCAAAAAATGTGTGCTTGACGGAAAGAAATTCTGCACTCGAAGACATAAATATGTTCAATCGAAGCAATTTATGGTAACAAAAAGGAAAGTTATTCGACTTAAATGTTATTGAAGCAATTGCACATACAAATCGTTTGTAAATCTCAAAAATTTCATTAGAAAATTAGTTATAGATTATTGAAAATAATGCAAAATATATAATAAACATTGGCACATAAATATAAGTAGAATGCACAAAAATGTGCACTTGAACGCACAGAAATGTGCACTTGTAGGCCAAATTTTTGCACTCAAAGTTATAAAAATTTGCACACAAAGAGAAAACTAAGTACTAAGACAGAACAAATGCATTCGAGTAAGGAAAATATGCACTCGAAGAAGGAAAATATGCACTCAAAGAAGGAAAATGTGCACTTGAAGAAGAAAAAAATATGCATTCGAAAAAAAAAGAACATCTAAACTTAACTACTCAAAATTACAATAATATCACCGCGCGTTTTTAAATTATTCTTCGTTTTGAACTGTTGATTTGGACTAGATCTATGGTTGAGATTTAACCTTATTTTTTTTTTTTTTACCTAAAGTCATCTTTCTCATATAATCTGTAGTATGTATGTATATATATATATATATATATATATATATATATATATATATATATATATATATTATTTATATTTATGGTTATGTTTATGTTTTTATTTTATTTTATTTTTTTTATTTATATTTATAATTTTAGATAGATTTAGATTAGAGTGTTCTCTTCTTGCCAATGAACTTGTGGTCTAGTTGGACGAAGTGGCTCTCCCAAATGGGAAGTCATGTGTTCGATCCATAGTGGGGGCAGTATTGACTCTTTGTGCTTGAGTAGGTTCCAAAACCTTTCCGCTAAGCATCTAGCAGGTTATTTATAGAGGAATGGAGGGGACACATGCCCTCCCAACATGTGCACTACGTGTCCTTCATGCACTCGGAGGCCTACGGTAAAGCGACCCTTTTAATGGTCTATAACGTGGGCTCGAGGCGACCAACCGAATTAGGGCCGAGTATAGAAGGCCTAAAGCAGAAGCCCGTTTAGCCAATCGGTTGTTTAACGCCCATGTCGGGTCGGTCATGTGCTTTTCTCAGGTCGGATCGGATCGAAGACGGACATTCACAACCTGTAGAGTTGAGTCCGAGCAGGTGTACCGTAGGTACGGGTCAGTATGCCGGGGTATATTCCCTATTAGTGACATTGTCACATTTAGTCCTATTCTTTTAATTTTGTGATATTACATCCATGACTTTGAGCAACTTTCAC